TAAACCCTAAACCCTAAACCATTCGGGTGTAGGGCCGGTTGTGATGATTTTTCTCCTTGCACGGTTGGGATCCGCTGCGGTCGTTGATCGTTCCTTATGCGGCCTTCCCGCTGGGACGTGTGGGGTCGGATCGAAGGCTTCAGGGAAGTTGACGGCAGGATACCAAGTCTCGAAGCTAAGGTTCGGGGTAGTTTCGGAGTTTCGGGTGTCCAATCTGAAAACGTGTAGTAGCGATGTTGCTATGAAGCGATGAGATTCTGTGATTCTCAGTCGCAGTGGTGTCTCAGGAAGCACAACAGTCATAGCAATGCTAAGGCGCTCACCCAGATCTCACAGTCAAGATTTGATAAGCTAAGCTCTCAAAGACTGTTTAAAAAAGCCCCAAGATCTTCAAATTTTAAAGCTGGAAATCCCAAACCCCAAGCGCAATCTGTAAGTCCGAGACCCCAAATCTTGCGGCCAAGCAGGTGTCATCCAGACAAGGCCAAAGACGAAGATAAAGACGTCTGGGGGAAAGCCTGGTGGCGGCGGCTCCATTTGATCTTCTGGCTTGGAAAGGTTCCGGTTTCCGAGGATTAGAGGCAGTTGGCTGGGTTTTGGGTTTGGGGGTTTAGGGTTTGGGAGCTTCGGTTGAATGGTGTCTGGTGGTTTGTATACGTTTCCCAGGCTGGCAGGTTCCAAGTAGCAGGTTCCAGGCACCCTAAACCCTAAACTTAAACCCTAAAACCTAAACCCTTAACCCTTAACCCTAAACCCTAAACCCTAAAACCTAAACCGTTGCAGGTCTGCTCTTCACCCCGAACTCCTAAGTCCCCGGCCCTCCAGCGCTTGGATGCTTCAGCATGCCAGCGATTATGGTTTTTAAGCAGGCCCCTTTTGCTGAATAGTGGTTCGAAGATAGCAGCAGCGGCTTGGTGTGGCATGTCTCTGGTGAGTGCAAGAAGGCGGGTTTAGGGCCCATGAAGTTTTTCTGACTATTGGCTTGGCCCCCGGTGTTGTCGTGGCCAGGAAGTGGCTCGAGGATTGGACGAACGAGAACCAAGAATGGTACTTGAAGGATGCGGAGGGGAAGTCGAACAGCCGCTATCCGCAGTTCCAAAGCGTACTTGGCTAGCAGCACGGAGGGGGAGAGCCCATGAACCACTTCATGGACTCCCTATAATTAAGTGACGCCTCTTTAGCTCCCCAATGCGGAACTCCAACATCTTCACGCCATATTCCGAAAGTTTGCCCTTAACCCCCACGCCCGAAGCCCCAAAGACCAAACCCTGACCTCTCAACCCTAAGCTCTCAAATTGAAAAATCTCTCCCTTTGCATTGGGGAGTTAAGAAGTGCCGTAGCTCTCCTGCGCTTCTCTGGTGTTTGGCAGCTCCCAGCTGGAAGCTCGTAACACAAAGGGCCTTAGAACTGTAGAGGCCTGGGTAGTTGCCAATATTAGTCCTTAGGACATCAGCTAGAAGAGGGTTTTGGTGTATTGTGGAATGTAGGAGCCTGATTAAGAAACCCTGGCCCTATGAACCTCAAGTATGTTAGGGTTCATGTTAAGAACCCGAATAAAGACCCAGGGTTTCTTAGTCAGGTTCCTAGATTATTCTGATTAGCTAGTTATCACAGCGGGTTGATGGCTTTTAATCATTCAGGCCTTGACGTTGCTGGAACTAAATGTAGACCCTCGAGACAAGCTGGCACTCCGTTCTGCCGGGGCCTCGGGTACCTTTAGGCTTCATTATGGAGGCTGCCTTCAGTCTTCAAGTGCGTTCTATTTGGGGTGATACCTATATAGATGAGGTTATCCCAATTTACTGTATCATCCTACTGTAACCCACCTGCCAAGCCCGAACTGTATGTACAAGCCTTCAAGAGGGAGCTTCAAGCACCACGTGCAGGACTTTAAGATCAACAATCTACTGCAGGACCAGCATCCGACAAGGCAGTTGTTTCGTTCCGCTCCGCAGCCTTTGGTAGAAGATGCATCCTGTTCCAAAGGGCTGCCTGCTGGTAACCAGGCCTTGCATGATTGAATCCTTGTCGGCCCTAGAAGCGTAGTGATAGTAGTGTAAGTGGTAGTAGAGACCATGACAACCGTCGTGATTTGGGTCATACTAACGGTAACGATGTGTCGAAACAACAACAATGCTGAATACGCATGGCACGTTCAGCTGCAAGCCAGTTGTAAGGGCGAGCACGGCTGAGTATTAGCAACATATCCCGACATATTGGACAGGCAATTGCAGAAGTGACTTAAGATTCTGGGGGTTGCAAAGCCGGGATGCTGATTGGATTTGGCATTGATTTGTGAAGGTTGAGAAAGAATAGCTGCCGAGATCATGCTAGTTCTACAGTACCGGTGGCTGAATTCAGCAGCGGCGCTCGCGGGTCAAGAGTGTTTGACGTACAGGCGCAGCGCCGTGCGAAGCAGCTGTCGGCAAAGAAATCGCGGGGAAGGCTATCTGCTGATCACCGGCCCTAAACCCTAAACCCTCAACCCTAAACCATACTTAACCAACTGCTCCATCTTCAAATTCCGGTCGTGGAGCTTGGGCCCTTAACGCTTGTGAGGCACTGGTAGGTGTGGGGTGGCGGCTAATGAGTAGAGATACATACCCTTACCATCCTTACCTCAACATGGTGAAGCCACCGTGGCCAATACTCATTCTCTGGTTACCTATAGTCTCCATTGCAGTTCCTTTTTGGGGTTACCCTTTTAGGATCCTAGGACCTAAAACTGGTTAAACCAAACCAAAGGAACTACAAAGGAGACTATAGTTACCCTAAGTAGTTTCCTTTTTGGGATTACCTTATAGGATTCTAAATATAAACCACAAAAAGGGAACTACTTAGGGGCCTATATTAAATTCTACATATAAACCACAAAAAGGAACTACAAAGGAGACTATAGGTACAGCATGACTCAGGATTTCCCATAACCTCGCACTGTAGCTCACGAAGCCCCAAGTAGCCATCCTGCAGAGCTCCAGAAGTGTGCGAGCAGCCCAGTGAGTGGAATTGAAAGCTAAGAGATTATTCAATTCTAATATAATGTAGTATATACCATACTATCCTGTACTATACTATATTGTTCTATACTATGTTATACTATACTATATTATACTTTACCTATATTGTGGTATACTATATTGTACTACACTATATTGTATGATGCTATGGTCCAGGACATGCTTGAGGGGTCCACCAGCTCCTGGGATTTCCGGCTGCAGACTCCAGGGCTGAGTCTGAGTATACGTGATTAGAATACTGGTAATTGTTGGTACTATTGGTATTACTGCTATAGTTGGTATTCTGGGCATTACTGGCATTCTTGGTATTAGTGGCATTCTTGGTGTTATTGGTATTATTGTTATTATTGGTATTATTGGCATTATTGGTATTATTGGCATTATTGGTTTAGTTTTAGCATGCGTGGTAATAGCCCAGTGGCAGTTCTCCGGAGCCATGGTGCTGGCTGCTTGTCCAGGATTTGGCCAAGGCTTCTGTGCTGCTTAGCTCTTGCGGTGGGGTTTAGGGTCTCAGGGTTTAGGATTTAGGGTTTTGGATTTCGGGTTTAGAGTTTAGGGTTTAGGGTTTAGAGCAGGGGAGGGTTCAGAGTGGTGTGTGTGTGTGTGTTGACTCTAAGGGTCTTGAAAAGTTTTAAACCATAGGCCCCAAATGCTCACGGTCGGGTCGTTTACTCCACTGGAATACAACTACCATGGCGATTGGCTGCATTCATGAGAAGACCGGGAGCTAGCGCTTGAAAATGGCGACGGCCTAACCTTCTGCAACCTTGCTTGTCTGAACTGGGTTTCCTAAACACCAAACCGCGCAACGAAGCAAATCCAAAGGGCTGCAGACATCTGGGCCCCTCAGCCGGTAACTGCAAGTGTGCCGCGAATTGCTTGGAAGAATCCGGAGCCCCTTCTGAAGCCCCTTAGTGAAAAACCCCATGATGTCCCTAATAAAATACCATAAAGACCTACGAAGTCCCTTCTACAAAGACCATAAAAAGCTATGAGGCCCCTTGTTAAGCCCTAAACCCTAAACCCCTAAACCCCTAAACCCCTAAACCCGAAACCCGAAACTCGAAACCCGAAACCTAAACCCTAAACCCTAAACCCAAACCCCTAAACCCTAAACCCTAAGCCCTAAACACCCAAGAAGAAGCCTTTGCCCGGCGCCTCGGCTCTCGAGGTACGCGCCTGGGCCTGGCAACCTTCGCCTGGTCTTCGAGGCCGGAAGAGCGTACGTCACGCGATGGGACGGTGAACGAGGTTTGCATTTGACAAGGTCGATGGCGATGATGATGATGATGGTGGTGATGATGGTGATGATGGAGAGGATGATCATGAAGATGGCGATGATGCTGATGATGCCGACCGTTATCACTGTTATATATCTGTTACTATCAGCTCGATATTGCTGCCATGTTGTCATTGCTGAAGCTCCGGTGGTGGTCGGCCGGTAGTAGTACTCGCTTGACGAAGACAGAGATCACCGGTGCCAGTGTATAAAACAACATGTCTGCTCGGGGGGGGCGGCGTACCTTGCTTTTTGTCCTCTCAGCCTCCGTGGCTCGAACTCAAGTCTCTGGGAGGTGATAATGACCATGTGGAACCGAGCGGTGAAAGGCACGCAAGCATGCTTGATGCTTGCGTGTCTGTCAATGGTTGATTTAGCAGCATCTCAGACGTGTTGGTCGGGATATCTTGACGGTCAGACCTTCACTCCGGGAATGCTGGTTACTTCGATGGATAATGTGATTTGTACTACGACGACCACGACTGTTACGATGACGAGTTTGACATCAACGTCCTCAACGATGACGGGCAGCAGCACGACCACCTCGTCGGCTACAATGTCAACCTCGTCCACTACCAGTTCTACGGCCACGACCTCGACGGGTACGACATCGACCGTCTCGGCTACCACTTCGACTTCTTCCTCAGCTACGGCAACTAGCTCGAGCTCTACAACCTCAACGGCAACCTCCTCCACGGCAACAATGACAACAATCACCTCGTCCTCAGCCACTGCCACCATGACTTCTTCCACGACCTCAACAGCTACGGGAACCACTTCCACTTCTTCATCGGCGACGGTCACCACAACAACAAGTTCCACTGTGACGATGACGACCTCCACAAGCAGCAGCTCAACTGCCACCGAGACCACCTCGACATCGTCCAGTTTGACGGGGACCACTTCGACGTCCAGCTCAGCGAGCACGACCTCGACCACAGCGACCGCAACCACCACTTCTACGACGTCGGAGACTGCGACCTCAACGACCACCGCAAGCACTTCTACCACCCCTTTCCGTTGTGCTTCGACGTTCATCCTCGCGGATGATGGAGAGGAGTTCGATGGGTTGAACCGTGGAAGCAGTTCTGCTTGTGACAATCTTCCCGTCGGGACCACGTGTGAGGTGACCTTCAACGCGGGCAGCGGCAGCGACCTCTCCGGATGCATTGCTGCCGGCACCTACACGTGGTTCTGCCCGGCTTTGGGGTCAGAAACCTCGAGAGTGGAGCTCCATGCCCTGGACCCCTACATCCAGTGCCGCGTCTGTGAAGCCACGTTTGTCGATACCGATGAGAAGACGGGAGACTTTGCCGGCAAGGTGGTCTTCGGACCCAACATGGTGAACGGAGTCGTGGACGAGACAGTGCTGGACTACTACGTGGTCCTCCCGATGGACGACTGCGGGCACATCCCCTTAAATCAAGCTATTTTAGGCCACGTCGCCAAGAGCAGTACTCCCCCCATCTGCTGCGAACAAGACACTTGGGCCTTGCAGTCGAAGCGAGTTGATTCAGTTGATGTGTCCGGTAGAAGTTGTGGCAGTCAGATGATAGACTACCCTAACCCGGCTAATCCATCTCTCGCAATGGCCCAGGATATGTACGAGATCAGCATTAGCTTGCCTCAATTTGCCTACAACAAGATCGTGGTCGTTCCAGCTGGCAGCAACTACTCTTATGACTTCCTTGATGATGGTGTGGTTATTGATCTTGTAGACCTGACCACAACCACGACGACCACCTCAACAGCTTCCTTGACTGCAACGTCTAAGACGATGACATCCACGGTGACGGCAACCACTCTCACCAGCACTAGCAACACAGCAACCGAGTCAACCACCGTCACCGGCGAGTTGGGTGGAAGTGGCTGGGTGGACAGCACGATGCAGACGCAGTTGGCCCCTGTGCTGATGGCAGGGCTTGCGCTAGTGGTCTTTGGCTGAATGCAATGGCTTTCGGCTCCATCCCGGCGGTGATTCTCGCAGGACGCTCTGTGGACTTGCAACTTTGTCGACCTGAAGGCCGATTTTTATATGCAGACTCGCGCTCAATGCCGACGAGTCGGTTCCCAATGTCTTCCTGCGAGGCCTCGCCTGTAATATCTTAGAGCCCCGGCAGCGCAAGGACTTGCCTGAAATTAACATCAATCGACCGTAGGTCGTGATGTGTTCCCGATCCTGAAAATGAGCTTGCATTTTCACACACGCGCACTTTACGACCGAGAGCGAAGCTCAGGAAACAAAAGAGAGATGCTGGCAGGGCAGGGGTGCCATGGAAGCATGCAGTAAACACTGCGATAGCATCCGGGAAGCCATCCTCTGACCTCCAAAATCCCAAAACGAGAGGCATCATCCAGCACAAGGACGACGTGCTGGGAGTGCTGGGCTCAGGATTTCGGATCTCGGAAGCGTGGAGGCGGATATCCGAAGGATTGAAACCTAAACCCGATTCCTCAAGCCCAACCCAAACTAACACCTCAAAGCGCAAGGTTTTAGGGCCTTTAGGGTTTATAGGGTCCAAGCTTTTCGGCTCCGAGGCGCCGTTTGCCCTTCCCCCAGCCGCCATGCCCCAGCAGGCCAAAGGAAAACGTCTCGTAGACCTGACCGCAGTTCCTGCCGGCTGGCCCCTGGCGACCCTCATCGACGCCTTCGTCGAATTGGCTGCTTCTCCTCCAAATTATGCTCCTGCAAACCGAGCTCGCGAGGCGCTGGGCCATCGGCTGGTGGATTTGTGGGCCTCGCAGCCGGCGGAGGCCGAGGCCTGGCTCAGCCGGTGCCGGGAGCGCTTTGAGACGGAGCTCGCGGGCAAGGCGACGAGGCCGGAGCGCCTCTTAGAGGCGCTGCTCCGGCACGGGGCGGCCGAGTTCGGCAAGTACGGGTGGGGCCACTGGCGCTTCTCCGAGGCGGCGCTCCTGCGAGGAGAGCCGCGAGGCTCAGCAGCAGAGCGGGAGGAGTTGGTGGCTTTGTACCTGCAGCTTTCCCAAACCCGCGCTCGCTGCCGGGAGCACGCGGAGCGGCTCGCGGCGGCCGAGAGCCAGGAGACGGCGCGGAAGCGTCAGAAGCTCGAGGAGGAGACCTCCGAGCGCCGGCGCCTCGAAGTGGAGCTCCACCAATCGCAGGAGGAGGGCCGAGAGCTCAGCAATCGCTTGGCTGTAGTGGAGGCGGAGGTGTGCAGCAAGACCGCGGAGCTCCAAACTGCGCAGAGCGAGAGCGCCACGTGCAGTGAGCAGTGCAAGGAGCTCGCAAGCCGCGCGGCAGCTGCCGAGTCAGCGGCTGCGGAAATGCAGAAGGAGCTCGGGCACTTGCAGGAAGAGCATGGCCAGTGCCAAAAACGCTGTGAGGAGCTCTTGGCTGGTTCGGAGGCGGAAGCTTCCCAGCATGCCAAAACCAAGGAGCGTCTGGCACAGGCCGAATCCGATGCTGCGGAAAGGCAGGTGGAGGCGCAGCTCGCGGAGGCGCGCTTGGCTGAGGCCGGGAGCCAGGCCGAGAAGTCGGTGCTGCAGCAGCTGCTGGCGAAGGCAGAGGCCGAAAGGTCGGGGATGCTCGGTCAGCTGCAGGTTCTGTGGGAAGAGAGGGGCATGTACAAGGAGCGCATCCGCGAGCTGGAGCGACAGCTTCGTGAGGCGAAGAAGCAGCAGGCGTCGCATCATTCCAATTCCCAAGACGGCCACCACAGCATCGCTGCCAGCGGTGCAGCTTCCAGTGAACGGGAGCCGGATCTGGCGGAGCAGTTGGGGTACGGCTTCGTGGATGAGGACGGAGCCTTGATCCTGAGTGGCTCATCCCAGGTGAAGCAGAATTGCTTCATGCTGGATTCGATGTTCAAGGTCCGCCTGGATGTCTTGCGTAAGGGGAGGGACCTCCACAAAGGGTCGCAAGTTGTGGCTGCTGATGGCAAGACCGTGTTGGAGGTGGTCGAGATCAAGGAAGCCCAGGCAACGCAAGTCGTCGACTTGCACGTGGGCACCGACATGCTTCGGGTGACACCGGACCATCGCGTGCAAGTCCCGGATGCCGGGGGCAAGCTCGACGAGACTCTCTACCGCCCAGCGGGTCAGCTCGAGGAGGGCCACTCGGTGATCCTCGAATCGGGCGAAGCTGCAAAGCTCACCGCGGTGCATCTCAAGGAGATGGATTGCAAGGTGCTGAAGATCGTCTTCCAGCCGGACTTGCCTGTGCCCGTCTTCTCGGGCCCAACGTGCATCCTCAGCAAGGGCCACGGCGGCCACGAGAAGAAATCCCGGGGAGTGCGCCGAGGTGGCATGTGCCAGAGAGGCAAGGAGGCCTCCGACCCGACAGACGGAGCTTTCGATCCCATGGAGGGAGCGTCGATTCCCGACACGGCGGCCGGGGAGTACATGGACTGAGCCGACATACCAGCACACATTGATACTGAGAGTTGTGCTCAGAGCCCCAGAATTCGTGGAGTTGCGCTTCGCCGTCAAGCAGCTCAGCGCACGGCCCTGTCGGCCATTTCCATGCCGAGCATGCTGAGTGCAGCGCACGCTCTCCGAGGTCGCATCTGATGTATGGCACGATGCGTGACGTTTGGGGCACGAGTAGGGTAAATCGCACGCACATCGCCCACGAATAGCATTCATGGAGTCTTAAGCTTAGTTGCTTCCGCACAGATGAGATGTGAGCTTGGCTTCGCAGTGCCTGCACCGCGCTT